GGTGGTGGTCCACTTTTGTAAGTAGTGAGGATTATGTATAAGTGACTTTCATTTAAGGCACTGTCCTGTTGCGTTCTGTGATACCAGCAAGATATCGGTCTGTCGACAGGTGAGCAAGATAGCATGCAGCATACTCTTTGGGCTAGAATACAGAAAGTAGGAATCTCAAGCCCACATCCCCTCCTGCCAGGTGCCCCTATCTCGTGCTTTGCGAAGAGACTGTACAAACCATTGTGGAGACAGCAGCTTTATATTCATAAGGACGTATAGATTGCGCATATAGGTGATTCCTCATCCACGCCCTCTCTGGCTAAGTGCAATTCCTGCTGGACAGCAGACTGGTTTGGAATTCGAATCAAGCAATAATTAGGAATGGCTGCTAAATAGTACACCAAGCCTCTTATCACATGACGTTAGCTGCCAAGCATCGTTCAGCCTTAGATGGTGTTAAAGCCAGTTAAATAACTCAATGCAATGTACTGTGGAAATGCAACCATTTATTGGTGTCATGGATGGCGTGACATGCTTTACCGGGTGGTTGTATCTCTGTATGCAAGAATTCTCACGTGTCACTTAAAAGTCACTGTTGTTTCAAGGAGAGATGTCATTCAATGCCTTTGACGGCGTGACAATCTAACTGCTTAGAGTAACAGACAAGAGTTGTGTGGATGATGGAACAGGTAGAGCTGCTTCACTATTATGTTTGGTGACTGGAAGGTCTGATGATAAAGGCATTTCAGTAGACAATTTAAGCATTCCTTGGCAATGCTCCTGTCCAATGAAGATAGGCCATTTAGAAAAGAATGATCGGTGTCGTAATAGGATGCTAACTTGATGGCAGAGCTGTGGGGTCCTACGTTAGATTCGCAGATGGTAGGGTGTAGCACTGAGAGGTGATTTAAAGATTTTGTCTGATGTAGATAAGTACAGGTAGCTGGATGTCTCACGCATACCATGTCGGACATCGCGTGCCACAATTTCACATAACACTTAATTTGAGTTATGAAGCATCATTTGTGGTATACGATGATCCACCCGAGTTCCATTCACCAAAACATAATGGTGAACCAGTTCTACTGTGTTTGTTATACGACCCTCGAAATATTAAGTTTGCAGAGCACAAACATTACAGCTTCCTTAATGGAATCAATGCGTAGCATCTGTGGTCGCATAGGGCTAACGCAGGGATGAGTTTGCATTCCTGTTCTCATCTGCGAGAGATCATGC